TTTTTTTTTTTTTTTTTTTTTACCCCGTCAGGGGCCCTGTGAGCTAGTGGACAAGGCCCTGGGTGGGCTTCCTGCTCTGTATGCCCCGGTAGCTCTGGGGTTCCAGGAAGCAGGGTGAGAGTCCGGATTCTTCTCCCGCATCCTCTTTGGGATGGAGTGAGGGGATGTGTGGAGGGCCTGGTGCTCACTCAGATACGTCTACCTAGGGAGCCTGACAGCCCTGGCCGGGGCCCTGCTCGCTCGGCTCACGCCTCTTATACAGCGCCTGCGGCACACAGGCCATCCCCTGGCTGGATGCTCACTCTGCAGCGAGCACTTCCCAGAAGCCCTAAGATCCCTGCCTCACTGGTCATCACTTGGGTCCTTGACAACTCCCCGCTCTTGTCCTCAAACTGCCCTGGCCCCCTCTTTTCTGTCTCCCCTGGGCCCCCATGCTGGGTACCGAGCGGTCTGGATGAGGCACTTGTCCAGGAGTGAGGGAGGGAGGGCTGTGCAGATCTGACCTGATCTGATCTCTCCTGCTCTCTCTCAGGCCACCTACATCTACATGAAGGCTGCCTACCTCACCATGTTTGGGAAGGAGGACCACAAGCCTTTCGGGGATGACGAAGTGGAGTTGTTCAGGTGGGCCCGTCTGTGGAAAGACCAGCCAGGCTCTGTCCCATGCTTTCTGAGCTGGGGTGCGGGCAGGCTGTGGTGGGAAAGCTACTCCCCTGAGGTCAGTATTGAACCTAACCATCAAGGTTGATTCGGTTCTCATCCAATTCTGTTTGCATCCAGAATTGAGGAAAGAATTAAATTTGCAAACTGAGGCACCACTGTGATGACCTCCCTTGCAGGGTTGTGAGACAATGAGAGAGTGTATTTTAAGGAAGCTGGAAGCCAGGCATGGTGGCACATGCCTGTAACCCTCGCAGTCTGGGAGGCTGAGGCAGGAGATTGCAAGTTCAAGCCCAGTCTGGGCAACTTAGAGACTTAGTAAGATCCTGTCTTAAAATAAAAAATATATAAATAAAAAAGGCTGGGTTCAATCCATAGTTCTGCAAACAAAGAGCTGGTTCTAATTCAGACGTGGAAGTGGGTGTAACATGAGCTTCTGTTCCAATAGCAGGGTGGCTGCCGCTTATGGGATGCCAGCTACTACAGTGAACTCTGTGTCCCCGCCTCATAGAACTCTCCCAGAAAGCCTGTGAGGGTAGGTGTAGGTGTCATTACCAACACTGGAGGGATGAGAGGCTCCGTGTTGACGAAGCAGGAGAGGAATCTGGGATGGCCTCACCCCTAGGTGCAGCTGTTTCCTGAGCCCAAGGGGCCCAGGCCTGAGGTCCGCCACACCCAATGGCTGTGGCCAAAGTTAGAGGGTGGGCTGGAGCTGGTGGGTGAGGCTCCAGATGTGGGGCCGCCCAGCTGCATGCCGCATTTTATTCTGCCCTTGGAGCAGCTGAGGCGGCCATACCTCCCGAAGCTGGAGTTCATTAGGGTCTGAGCTATTTGGTCTGGGTAGGCCACTTTCTCTGGGTGTTAGTATCCTTTGTGAAACTACGATTAGACTTCTACTGCGTACTCCCAGAAAATGAGGCCTGAAGTCAAGGGAGACAGCCAGGAGGCAGGGCAGGCCTAGGGGCACTTAGGTCCATCCTACCAGCTCTGGACCCCTTCCCAGCCAAAGGAAGTGGCCAGGTTACAGGACAGTGCCTGCAAAATAAGGACAGAGCCAAAGGCTGTTTCATACCTGGAAGGCTCTTCAGAGCCCAACACTCATCACACAGATGGGGAAACTGAGTCTCCATGAAGCTGAGTAGGCAGAGAACCCTCAGTTCTCTTGCTTTTTCTCATCCCTTCCCACTCTTCCTTGTCTTTCTCAGAGCTGTGCCAGGCCTGAAGCTCAAGATCGCTGGAAAATCACTACCCACGGAGAAGTTTGCCATCCGGAAGTCGAGGCGCTACCTCTCCCCCAACCCGGTCTCATTGCCAGTCCCTGCTCTGGTAGGAAGTTCTGGACTGGCCCTCAAGGTTGAGGTTGTGGGGATTAGTTGATAGCCACTGCCCAAGGGAAGTGGATGAGAGGAAAAGACGCTGTGCCTCGGGTCCTGGAGAGGGTTTCACAATTCACCCGGGACTAGGGAGGAGCACAGCAGAGGTGACCAAGGCTCTGTCCCCAGGAGGATGGGTCTGTGGAGGGTGGGTGTTAGGATACAGGCCAGTAGGCTGCAGCTACGTCAAGGCAGAAAGAGCCGCTCTCCTGGGCAGGCCACTGTCCTGTCCCCAGGCAGAGATCACCGGTTGTCTGTGTTCCCTGACTGTCTGTTCCAGTGTTGTCACCTGATGATAGTCATCGTTCACAATGTCTAGACCCTCACTAGACCAACTTTTTCTGAGCCTATCTCATAATCACCTTTGAACAATACATGGCAGGGATATTAAGGGCTAATTAGGTGAACAGAAAAGGAGCTGACCTGCCTGCTACCGCGGGAGCCGAAGCATTGGAGTCTGAACTCAGCAGACTGGCCCTACTGGAGCTTGTCTTGAGCCATGGTGACCATGCTAAGTCCAGGTGTGATTTGAGCAGGCTCAGATGTGCTTCCAGCTGTTCAGTCCTGTAAAGCAGCCAGCAAAGTAGAAGCCCCATTCAAAGAAGCCTTTTTCTGGGCCCCTGTGTGTAACCTTAGATTAGTTCCCCCTTCCCTCAATGTAAAAGTGAGTATACTGCCAGGCGTGGTGGTGCACACCTGTAATCCCAGCACTCAGGAGGCTGAGGCAGGAGGATTGCTGTGAGTTCGAGACCAGCCTGGGCTACATAGTGAGTTCCAGGTCAGTCTCAATGACATAGTGAGAGCCTGTCTCAAAAAAAAGTAAAGTTGAGTATAAAGAATATGAACCATGCCCATTTAATAAAGAAGTTGAGAATTAACTGATAACATATTAAACACTTTATAAATTTAAAACTTTATATAGAATTTAAATATTGTATCCTGAATATTTCTGGATATAGCAGGTTTTAAACTATTTGAACCATACAGTTTAAACTATACACAAGCCAAACTATACACGGTGGACATGTGCCTGTCATCCTAGCACTTGAGAGGCTGAAGCAGGAGGATCACTGAGTTTGAGGCCATCCCGTGCTACCTCCCAAATTCAAGGGCAGCCTGGACTACATAGTGAGACCATCTCAAAAATCCCAATTAATGAAAAAATAAAATATACAGTAACACTGTTCCTATCAAGTGGAGAGGATACTGTAGAAAAGGCAGAAGATGTAATTCTACCAAAAATTTAGGGGAGAATTTCCCAAATTGTAATCTGAAAAAATACTACTTATGTAGGAAATGATTGTGACTAAATGTACTGGGAAAGACAGGCCTAACAAAATTATATAGATATTTCCAGCACCTTTTATATGCTAATCTGCAGGTGAGTCTTCAGGAAGGACTTAAGGATTTGACTTTTCCCCATTTGGGCACAGAACCTCAAACTGTTTTAATGAAACGTCCATTCACTAATTTGGGACCACAGGACAGTTTGAGGCATACTCGTCTAAATTTATATTCCCTCCCTAGAACATAATAACAAGAACAATAATAATGCCTTTCTAGAACTTTTTCTTTTTTTGAGACAGGGTCTCACTATGTAGTTGAGATTGACCTGGAACTCACTATGTAGCTAGCCCAGGCTGGTTTCAAACTCACAGTGATCCTCCTGCCTCAGCCTTCGAAGTGCTGGGATTATAGGCGTGTGGCACCATACCCAGCTTTTTTATTTTTTTGGTACCAGGGTTCTTGTGCTTGTGAGGCAGGCGGCTGAAGCACTGAGCCAAATCCCTGGCTCCGCCTTTCTAGCACTTTTTACAAGTCACATTCAAATCCATTACCTGGCTTGATCATTTGGGAAGTGCTAATCTAAGCTAAGAGAATTACTGTGGATGAAAATTAATGTAATATTTTGAGCTTCCTGGCTGTCGAGGCAAAAAACAAAAAAATGGGGCCTTGGGGGCAATCAGATACCTTTTGTAGTTTCCATGATGGGAACTCACTTCCTAAGGCGGTGGGAGTGCTCGTTTCGCAGCACATACGCTAAGGGTGATGGAGTGAGGGCCTCCCTGACGGAGCCCATTCTTTTGAGGGGGATGTGTGAGAAGCTGGCATCGTCTGTTGTCCTGAAGTGTTTAGGGAAATTACTGTTCCTCCAATGAAGGATGAGGCCCTGCCACCCTGAATAAGGAGGAAGACTTCCTGCAGAGGGTGGGGCACCGCTTGGCCCTCAAAGGACGGAGAGAGGTTGGGAGAAGACATAATACTCGGGAGCCATGAGCAGAAAAGTAGGTGAGAAATGCAGGCAGCTATGAGCAGGAACTGAGGGTACTGACCCATCTTATATGCTCACTGATAGGGCTGGGGATTTAGCTCAGTGGTGCCGCTGCCTGTCTCGGCAGCACAAGGTTCCGAGTTCCATCCCAATACCAAAACAAAACAAAAGCTCACTGAAGTAGGGTAAGAGCTCAATAATAGGTAAAGGATTAGGTTCCTTCCAGAATGCCTTTAAGCCCACAGAGGCCAAGATGAGACTAATCTCGGAAGATTGTAGTCAGGAAGGCCTTCAGAGATCCTCTGATCTGAGCCGCCCATCTTACAGATGGGAAACTGAGGCCCTGTTGGGGCAAAACCCTAAGACTGACTTGCCCCATCCCCCTGCCCTCAGGAAATGATGTACATCTGGAATGGCTATGCTGTGATTGGGAAGCAGCCGGAACTCACGGATGGGATGCTTGAGGTTATCTCCAAGGCTGAAGAGATGCTGGCAAAGGGCCCAGGTGACTAGCGGCAGGACCCTGAACCTGCCAGACTAGGTCAGGTCTTTGCAGGTGGAGGTTCTTTCTGCCGAAACTGCCCTTCCTCCTTCCTCTCCCCTGGTAACTGTTCTTTATTTTACTGTACTAAGCTTCACTGTCACCTCCAAGCATCTGTCCTTTGCCCAAGGCCTCCTCTGGGCCCCCACAGCCCCCGGGCTTCCTTCAGGTAGTCCTGACTGTCACTGTCTCGGTGTCTGTCTTTCCTTCTCAGATGTGAGCTTCCTGAGGGACAGGGACCATGTTTGATTCCTGTGTTTTGGGCCCTGCAGAATAGGGCTCCCTGAGGAACTGCAGAGTGAGCAAGCCTGACTTTTCCCTCATCCCTTCTCAGAGAATGAGTACTCTGCGGATGACGAGTGCTTGGTGAAGCTGTTGAAAGGCCTGTGTCTGAAATACCTGGGCCGGGTCCAGGAGGCTGAGGAAAATTTCAGGAGCATCTCTGCCAAGTAAGTCCCTCTGGCTCCTCCTGGGTTTCCTAGGAAGCATTTTCACGGCTCCTTCAACCTCACACCCACTACAGTGGCTGCCCCAGCCAACTTCACTCATTGCATGTATACCAGTGTCCCCCTGTGCCAGGACCTGTGTTGGCCCAGGGGCACAGATTGTTCAGACCCAGGCCGCCCAGTGCTGCCAGACTGCCTGCTACAGGAACCTGTCCATGGTGTTTGCTGTGATGGTAGCGATTCTGTCCTAGCTGCTCTAGCTCCGTCAACCCAGCCTAGCATACTTGGGGCTGTGCTGGAAGGATCTAGAGGGAAAGAAGGTGCCTGGAGGAGAGACCTGAATCTAATAGATACTGGAGAAAGCCTCTACAGGACCAACATTTAAACTGGAAAGTTCAGCAGCTGGGTGTGGTGGCATATGCTTGTAATCCCAGCAGTTGAGGAGCTGAGGCAGGAGGATTGCTGCAAGTTTGAGGCCTGGGCTACATAGTGAGACCTTGTCTCAAAAAACCAAACCAAACAAACCTGGGAAGTTGGTCAGGCAGAGAAAGCAAGGGAGAAAGTTTTAAGTGGAGTAGGTAAAGTTTATGCAAATTCCTGGACACAGGAAAGACACTGGAGGTTGGGGTGACACGATGAGCTCCTTCCCGGTCTGGATCAAACAACAAAGAGAAAGGGTTGAATTAAAAAATCAATAGCCTTCTTGTACACAAATAACAGACTCATTGAGAGAGAAATTAGGGAAATAGTTCCTTTCACAGTAGCATCCACAAAAATGAAATATCTAGGAATCAAACTAATGAAGGAAGCAAAAAGATCTCTCTGCTGAGAACTACAGCACTCTGAAAAAGGAGATTGAAGAGGACATAAGAATATGAAAAGACAACTCTTGCTCCTGGGTAGGAAGAACCAACATAATGAAAATGGCCACACTTCCAAAATTGCTATACAGATTCAATGCAATCCCAATAGAAATCCCAACAGTATATTTCACAGAACTAGAGAAAACAATCCAAAAATTCATTTGGAACCAGAAGAGACCTAGAATAGCAAAATCCATTCTAGGGATCAAAGACATGGCAAGGGGTATCACAATCCCCAACTTGAAACTATACTATAAAGCTACTGTGATAAAAACAGCATGGTACTGGCAAAGGAACATACCTGAGGACCAGTGGAACCAATAAGATGCAGAAACAACTCTTTGACAAAGGAGCCAAACATCCTCACTAGAGGAAAGATAGCCTCTTTAATAAATGGTGCTGGACAAACTGGGTTTCAACTTGCCAAAGATTAAAAGTAGACCTGTATCTCTTACCATGTGCTAAACTAAAGTTGAAGTGGATCAGAGATCTAAATATTGAAACAGAAACACTAAACCAGCTGGAAGACAGGTTAGGTAGAACTCTCGAAGACACTGGCATAGGGAAAAAACTTATGAACAAATCCTCAATAGCAGAGGAACTAGCACAAAGAATCAACTAGGATCTCTATTAAAAAGCTTCTGCACTGCAAGAGAAACCACCAACAGAGCTGTTCCTCAAAGGTCTACTATCTAGAGTATGTAAAGAACTCAAAAAAATCAGACCCCCCAAATATAAAAACCCAATTCAAAAATGGGCATCTGAAATGAACAGACATTTCACAAACAAGTAAAGGCAGCAAATAAATATATGAAAAAATGTTCAACATCACTGGTCATTCAAGAGATACAGATGAAAACAACACTGAGATTCCACCTCACCCCAGAAATAGCTGCTATCAAGAAATCAACTAATAACGAATGCCGGTGGGGTTGTGGGGAGAAAGGGGCCATTCTCCATTGCTGGTGGGAGTGTGCAGATTGGTGCAACCAGTGTGGGAATCAATATGGAGACACCTCAAAGAGCTAGGATTAGAGGTTCCACTTGACCCAGCCATCCCTCTGCTGGGTATCTTTGCAAAAGAACTAAAGGAATCATACCACAGTGATATATATAAATGCATGTTTATAGTGGCAGAGTTTGTAATAGTCAAAACTTGGAAACAGCCCAATTGCCCATCAAATGGAGACTGGCTTTTCTATAAAATAGAGTACTACTCAGCTATAAAGAATGAGAAACTAGAGTCATTTATAGCTAAATGGATGCACAATGAAGCCATAATCTTAAGTGAAATAAATAAGTCACACATGTGTAGATACCAAATAGTTTCTCTGGTGAGAGAAACTGAAAGTGTAAATCAGGTTCACATTGTATAACTGATAATGTGAAATAGAAGAAAAGGGCTAAAGGAGTAGGGGAAGTGGGAAGGGTAGGGGAAAAGAAAGGAAAAGAAAAAATATGAGAAGAAGAAAAATGGAAACAAAGTCTTTGTAAATAGGGAAGGGTAGAGAGGGTGAAAGGAGGGCAGGGTATGGGAAAAAATAACCAAGATACATCATGTAAAGGTACAGGATCCCAATGATGAATGTAACTGCTGTATACCTAAAATGTACCAGTAAACTTAATGAAGAAAAAAAGAAGTGGGGGAGAAGAGGAGGCGGAGAGGAGAAAGGGTTGAAATTGAAAAAGGAGGGCTAGACTGAGAAGGGCCTGGATGTTATGTTCACACAGCTAACTTTCACGCTGTGCACGGAGCCCAGGAGGACACTGGACAGGGTAGCCTCGGGCTTTAAAAGTGTTTCTGGAGTAGCTTGGGGGAGAGGGGGCCAAATGAGAGCATCACACTTGACGTGTTTTGAGCCATGCAACCTCAGGGGAAATGGTTTGGGACTGCGGTGAGGGCGTAAGCTAAGGACATGACAGGAGCCACTAATTCAAGATGTTGGAGCCTTAGGATACTGAATGGGAAGACGGCTCTGCTGTGGATCCCAGGCTTTCTAAGGCTGAGCAGTAGGACCCTAAATCCCAGATTGGAATTCATATCAGGAAATTCTCACATGAACTTCTGGGAAGGCTCCAGAGGACCTAACGGGCCTTAGGAGCAAAGCCTGTGAGGCACCTGTCCTCTGTTTTACAGTGAAAAGAAGATTAAATATGACCACTACTTGATCCCAAATGCCCTTCTGGAGCTGGCCCTCCTATTTATGGAACAAGGCAGAAATGAAGAGGCCGTCAGACTCCTAGAATCTGCCAAGTAAGTCTTGGGGCACCTGGCTCTGCCCTTTGCTCCCTCTGAGCTTAGCACGCGGGAGCTGGCAGAAGAGCCCAGGCAGCAGTGTGGGAGACTGCGGGTGAGGCCAGGCATGTTTCCCTGGCCCACAGCTTTTACCTGCCACGGGAAAAGCTTCTTCCTGCATTTAGAAAGGAACGGTTTGGAATCCCAGAGGCAGGAAGTGAGTTGCTGAGGGCCGCACCACAAACCAGAAAGCAGGGCTGGCGCAGGATCTGAGTCTTCTGCTTTCCAGTCCAGGAGCCCTCTCCTGAAGCCACTCCTTAGATTAGGGGCCCAGTAGGACCAAGACTGGTACCTTGGTGATGGGCCACACACCCTTTGGTTGATCCTTCTACTGGGCAGGGCTCAGCTCTTGTTTTGGACAGGATGGGGATTTAAGCTTCTAAAAACTTTCCTTGGCTGGAGGTGGCAGTGGGATGCTCACACGCCTCGATGGAAGAAAGTATTTTCAGGAGTAAAGAGCTTTATGTGTCTGATTCTCTGCTCACTTCTAGGCAAAACTACAAGAATTACTCCATGGAGTCGAGGACACATTTTCGAATCCAGGCAGCCACACTCCAAGCCAAGTCTTCCTTAGAGAATGGCAACAGATCCATGGTCTCATCAGTGTCCTTGTAGCTTTGAGCAGCACTCCTGGGCTGGAAGACGAACAGAGACAGCTGGGCAGAGCTCCAGGAAACATTTCAAAAGATGCCCTCCCCCACTCCCTGCCCTGTCCTTGGGGTACACCAGTGCTCCCGTGGGATGACTCAAGGATACCCAAGCAGAGGCAAAGCTGGCATTTCTCCAGTGTGGCCACAGCCCTTTACCAAGGGCAGAGCAGCTGGAGCCCCCCGTCTGCCTACCACACATACGGGTACTTACGGGTACTTGTTTTTCACTGTGACGCCTAAGAGAATGTATGTATGAAGAGTTTACATTTTCTCTACAAATACATTGATTGGCTTAAAAAAAAAAAACCCAACAACCAATCACCTGTAAATCATTGTTTTCACCCACACTGATCTAGTGGTAAATCTTTCATATGATGCCAAAAGCCAAACTGCTTTTCAAACCTTAGCAAGTTCTCCGCTTCTAAGGCTAGCGGGCCCTTTGTCTCTGAGGACCTGGACGAGGCCCAGCATCTGTGCCATAGGCTTCAAAGTGGGGTTAGGCAGAGATGTCAAAGGTGGCCTCCACCCTTCTCCCTCTAGTTCACTTCACTCCCTTTGTAACTTTCCAATTTAAAAACCAAGCAGGTGTTTTCGGTCAGATGAAACTCAAGCCCATCAACAGAAAAATCAATCTCTTCTAACAGGGAATGGGATGCCGAGGCCTGACAACAAAGCTGTGTGGCCTTTTGCGAGCCAAAGCTGGGAATGTTGAGGGTAGGGGATGGTCTCAGGAATTGCATCCTTGCTGTATGCCAAACTGAAACCGCCTGCAATAATCTGAGACATAAAAACATTCTTTCTACACTCCAAGGCACATTTATTTCCTGACAGTCTTTTTTTAGAAACAGAAGTTATTCTTAATTTTTCATTTAAGAAAAAAAGAGATTGTAACAAATTTTATACCCTTAGGAGATCAGGCAACATCTGCTTTACAAACATGTTGCTTTAATTCTTGGGTAGGGCAGAACGTCTTTGATTAGAGGTCTCATGGTCTGTTTTATTTAGACATGAAATCTAAAAAATTTTTTCAGTAGGCTGTCAACATTTAAAAGTGAACTTTTACAAATGCATCTGGTTTCTGGTCTCTAAGAAGAAAAAAAGATTTGGCCACACTGAGCCTTAATTCCAGCTAGTCAGGAATCTGTTAGGGCTAAATACAAGCTACTTTAAAGACTTTTGCTACTTTTCTGGCTCCTTAATAGCATCTGAATTTGTGACCTCTGGGACTGTTACAGTGAGAACTCAAATTCAGTGACCAGCACCAAATTTTACTATTCACATTCTGTCAGAACCAGGCATGATGGTGCGCTCCTGTAATCCCAGTACTTGGGAGGCTGAGGCAGGAAGATCACTGTGAGTTCAGGACCAGCCTGGGCTACATAGTGAGTTCCAGGTCAGTCTCAACTACATAGTGAGACCCTGTCTCAAAAAACCAAGCCAAACCACATTCTGTCAGCACGTTTCAACATAATTATTTCCCTGAAGGGGAGAACTGTGTGTTCAATAAGAATACTCACCTGGGAAAATGTGACTCCCCCAAATGCCTGTGATTTCAATGAGAACCACCCAACCCTTCCAATCTTCCAGCACTGCTATAGTTAGCAAGCACTTTTTGGTGGTACTAGGGATCAAACCCAGACCTGTCTACTACTGGGCTACATTCTTGGCCCTTTCTTCTGAGACAGGGTTTCGCTAGTTGCCCAGGCTGGCCATGAATGTGCCACCCTCCCGATGGTGGCCCGAGCTGCTGGAATTGCAGGCCTTTCCCCCCACACCTGGCAGCACTTTTGAGAAGTGGGAAAGACTGAGTCTGTGGTTATTATATAAAGACAATTAGCCTCCTATAATAATGCAGTCATGGGTTATAGGTAAAGTAAGTTCACAGGAAAAATCAAAATCCTTCAAGATTATCCCTTGCAATGAGTGCTTCCAGAGTAGAAAAATGCAATGAAAAAATGTCTCATTTTGCCAGAACTGGACACAAAAAAGTATCCTTCGTAAGAGAAAAAGACTTTTTGTAAGCTCTTCTTGTCCAAAGCCTGGATGCTGGCAAACCATCCCGTTTCTAGGCTGCTGGGCAGGACAGGGTGGAAGGGGTGACATTAGACAGATTATAGATAGGTGCTGAAATGGGGTGGGTTTCTGCAAGAGAAGACTGGATATGATTTACAAAACCGCAGTTCACAACGAGACAAAATATGACCCTTTGTCTCAGCATTCACTTCAGGTGCTTTTGTCTTTAAAAATTCTCTCAGGATGGCTTCTTTGCCCACATCTGTTGCTGCTATCCTGCTGGGATTCGTTAGCTAGCCCGTGTCATGTTTACCTCTGTTGCCCTGTGTTCACGTGGTCTATCCCACCTGCAACATCCACCGAAAATGAGAGCAATCACTAGGTTTCTCTTCAAAGGCAGGAGCCTTTGAAGGTAAAAAGCCTGTGTGAGCGTCCCAGTGTACCTGAGTTATTTTTGGCCATTACTTCTCTAATAATGCAGGCCTTCCCATCTGCCCTAGACAGGCAGTTGACTAGGTGTTTTTGGGTTAGAAATGGGAGAACTTGAATTCTAGTCCTATCTTTGCTGCTGATTTTCAAAGTGACCTTGGGGAAATCACAGACCCTCTAAAAACTAGCACTTTAGGTAAGATTAAGGCTCTTTCCTGCTCTCCGTTCTCACTTTGGTTGTCTTTCTCTGGGTTTTCATTCACAAAATGAGGCTACAGATACACTTCATTAACTTTGTGCTTGCATCTCCAAGCATTTCAACTACAAGTTAACAGGCTCCTTAAACGGAGTGGGATGGGTTCAGGGAGGGGCTCTATAACAGACGGGACACACATCAAGGAAGCCTGAGATAAGTGCTATGCCACACAGATGAACTCAGTTGTCAGGGAGGCGGCAACTGTGTAACAGGATCTGAACAGGCCTGTGGCAGATCTCCCTCAGCCTCGCTGGTCACAGGATGTCCCCCTGGCAGGGTGGCTTGGCAGGGTGCTGGTTCCTATCAGCTCTCCCACACCTTGGCAGGTTTCCCTATTTCCTTATCTCCTTAGTCAGAATGGGAGGGTTTCCAAGGCAGCTCTCGCTACTCATAGCAAAAAGCCGCGAGCTGACATAAAAGCTAGGCCTCTAAAAGGCAGTATCAGTCCAGGACTTGGCTGAGGCCCAGATGGAAGATTCCCAGCAAGTGAAGGGCAGCATGCGGCTTTCAGAGAGCCCCAGCCGGATGAGTGTTAGGCCACTGAACACAGAAATCAAGTCCACTTTTCTCTGGAATTACTCCCCAGGTTCACCTACTCAACGATGGAGAATCAGCAATAATCTTTACTGTTATTGACTGATCATGGTACTACTGGGGATTAAACTCAGGGGTGTCTACACTGGGCTACATCCCCAGACTTTATTTTTTGAGACAGATGGGACTTGAATTTGTATTCATACACCACTGTGTGTGGTGTCCTTGTGCTTTCAATATAAAGCCTAGTAGATACCTTGAATGATTTCCGCCTGTCCTTACCACTATCATAGTAATACATGTGAGGCAACCACATCCTACCCTGAGATACAGCATCCCAACATAGGAAGGTGCCTTTCTGCCTGGGTTAGCACAACTCCTTTGAATGCTGATGCAAAGTTAATTGTTAACAGATGGGGTAAGTCCACACACAAGAAGCCTCATTTGAAAGAAAATTCTACCTTCAAATGAGCAATCTCTGAACTGCTTACATTGTATGAACTCAATTATCAAGTGAGAAAATGTAACAGAGCTCTCTGGAAAGGCACACAATTACTAAAGGTCTCTACGACTGCTAGACGTTGACATTTAAGTTTAATCAGCGCTAACACCTCCTAAGTGACTGGATTGTGTTGTTTTATTTCACACTAGCACTTCACAATATCAGACACCTTATGCTGTGGAAAAAAGTTAATATTGTTACTTTATTAAACTGCTGTAGGAATGTAAAATTGCCAGCTGGATGTGAGTCGTGCTGACTCTTGGCCCAGGGATAAGGATGGGAGGTACTGGCTACGAACCACTGGAAACCCTTGCTGAGAACACATGGGGTATATCGTCTGACACGGTTCCCCTGGACCACCTGGCCTCAAGACAAGGAGTAGATCTGGAGTAGTGGATTAAATTCTATCTATCCCCACCTGGAGGGTTCAGTCAACTACTTGAGATGGTTTTTTAATAAGGCCTGTACAGAGGCAGGACTTCTGGCCTGGCTTGAGACTAGAGGGGGCCACAAACTATGTGCAAGTTTTTCATAAGAATAATTTGCAAGCTGGGCGTGGTGGTGCACACCTGGATCGCTACGGGTTCAAAACCAGCCTGGGCTACATAGTGAGTTCCAGGTCAGTCTCAACTACATAGTGAGACCCTGTCTCAAAAAACCAAAAACCAAAAAACAAAACAAAACAGAACAAAAAAAACCCAAAAAACACAACAACAAAAAAAGAGCAAGCAGTCTGGTCTCACTCAGATGTTTGTCACTCAGGCAAGTAGTTGTAGTGGTGGTGTCCCCAGATCAGCAGCATTAAGCATGGTCAGGAACTTGTGTGAAATAAATTGTCAGATCTAGGGACTGTATGGCTGAGGCACAGCAACATGAGATTTAGCAAGCCTTCTAGATAAGTGTACACTAAAATAGAACCAATGCTTTAGAAAGAGAGGGAAGTACAACTGGCCTTGCCTTGGGCCATATGCTGGGAATGTGGAGTACTGGGCAGATTAAAACACTACAAACCCAGTTTCATGTCTTCTTTCAAAAAACTGATATGCTTGTAATCCCAGCACTCAGGAGGCTGAAGCAAAAGGGATTCTTTTTGACTTCAAGGCCAGCCTGAACTACATAGTGAGACCCTAACTGGCCCCCCGCCAAAAAAGCTATATAGGTATTATGACTTGCCACACTTCCGATAAAGGGGCAGATCAATGAGTATTTGGTAAGGAGGTATGGGGGTTTATGAGAATGCTGCCTGCCCAGAGATTTCTTGGCCCTTTTGTCAACCCCAAATTCTTTATGAAATCTCAATTATCCCATGGGAATGTGGATGGTAGCTTCCTCTCAACCAGCAATGCTGAATTTTCAGGAACTCTTCCCTATTTTGTCTTTCCCTCCACTTAACAATATCTTGTATCTTTTAAGTATCTACTGCCCTGCTCTTGAGTAGCTTATTCTGACAGGGCATGCAAGTCCATAAAGAACTAGAAACTAGAACAATGAAAATAAATGGGATGTGCTTTGTCTAGAGAAGCAGCCAGCTGCAGGGCAGAAACTATAGTTCACAAAGACCTGAGACAGGTTAGGGCTTGCCACTTTACAAGGCAAAAAGGGATGGTCCATGAAAGCTAGCTCTCACAGTCCTACAAAACAAAGGGACAGAGAGCCAACTCATCCCAGTTAAGGAGTCTGGATTTTATTTTTACCACAACGGGAAGCTACTAAAGTTTTAAGTGAGGGAATGACATCACCCAATCTACTCAAAATTATTTTAGCTGCTGTGTGAAACAGATTATATAAGGTTAAAGATGAACATTGTCCTCCAGCACCAGTTCTGGCTTTTTTGTTAACAAAGATACTACACCTTCCCTTCAAGTTTAAAGTTAGGAAAGAATGCTTTCAGTATGCAAAGTGATAATCACTGGTGTGACTTGGCATTTCATGTGCTTTGGTCTTCACAGGAAATCAGAAACCCAGCTTATCAAAAGCCATAAATGCAAACTGCATTTTTAAACATCGAAGCCCTTAACTCAAATTTTTAAGAAAGTCCTAAGAGCAGGACTGCAACAACAGCCCATCTGAAAATGCCTTGTTAAGAGTGGCACCTTCTCACAATCAGAAAGAATGC